ACGGCGCTCGTGTTCATAAGAAATTCTGCTCTCCTTTATAACATTTAATTCATTATTAGCACGTACACTTGACTGCAACCCATCTCGCAAGGAACGTAAAGCACCAGTGATGCAATTTTTTTGTGCAAAAACTCATCTGCACTACAAGATGCACGCTGCCGCAATCCTAAATTCATACGTGCCGTTTTTGAAAGGTTCTTTTTGGTATGAGTGTTTCGCCGGTGTTTTTGTTGTTTTTCGTACTCTTTTCTTTGCATTGGGTAATGTTTACAATTGGAAGACGGGAAAAAGCGATTTGTGAGCCAGGGATGGATGAAAAGTGTGAAGGAAGCCTCAGATGGCGTGGCCCGTGGTTCCTCTTGTTGTAGGATCGCCTGATATGTGATTCTTTTTGAAAAGTAAGCACAAAAGAAAACGTCAGGGGTTGCGCACGGCTTTCAAGCAGATTATCATTTTTTTCTCGATTATTGAGCCTTCTGCCTACTTTTTGCTTCTGAATATTTGTTCCAGCATAGCATTAACAAGCACTCTTTCAGTTCACAGATTTTCTTTTCCCCGGTTCAATTCCACTGAAGAAGGTAAAATGGAATTCTATACTCGAACTGGACTGGCTTGGCAACTGGAAGATTGTCCAGACATCGTGGAAAACTCTTGGTGTGGAAAAAGTTGTTCCTGTTGACAAACTCATAAAAGGGAAATTCCAGGTTTGTAGCGACACACTTTTACTTCATTATTTTTTGACAGAGTCACTGTATCGCTGTAGGCGCTGTTTGGCCTGGAAGGGGCAATTTTCTTTTTCACTAACTCCTTCAGTTAGTTCATGCTAACTGACAGGTCTTGGCTTGATAATATCTGTGAAGTCCTGTGAAGCTGCATAATGGTACAGATGACTCACTCTGGTCATCAAAGTTTCAGACCTCAAGGTAGGGTTAGGTAAAAGATGAGGTGGCCTGTACAGACTTCACGGAGTACCACATGTTGCCCCCACCAAGCCGAACTGTGCCTCGCCATTTCTTGACTTCCGCTTTTTTTGACGATTTTTTTTTCCTCAGCGCTACGTGTTTTCCGATTTTTTCTCTCAAATCTGAATCAGGATGCTGCTGTCGACTTTCATTTTCATGTGGTCAATTTCAGGATAACTTCGAGTTTCTGCAATGGTTTAAGAAATTTTTCGACGCGAATTATGACGGTCACGAATACAATCCAATAGAGGCACGTGGAGGAGAGCCTCTTCCTGCAGACCCACCGGCTGGAAAAGCTCCAGCTCATGGAGCGACACGAATGCAGATGCCTACTCGTACAAGCGTTTCAGCAGCGTGAGTCTTCGTTCAAGAATGATCAAATTTTATTCTGTGTATACCCTTTGCTGGTCCTTTGTCTTATTTGAATCCTAGTTTCATATAATTTATACAGTTTAATGTCATTGAATTTTGGCAATGCTGGTTACACAGTGCTTAATAATCATTTATTACAAGTTTTTTTTTGAAGAAAATCGGGCCCTCCGTCGCGAAACTCGTCCTCATACACCATAAACTCTGCACCACCAAGGTCTCGTCCAGCAACGGCAACAAATGCTGCTGCACATCGACAACCGGCTCCAGCTTCTGCAAAGATAAACAACAATGTTGCGCCAAAGGTCAGTTTATACGATATGTTTCTTAGAATCCACTTTTCTTCTTCTTCTTCATCTTTAGCTTTGAGCAGAAAAGCCTTTGTGATTCTCTTCTACGCACTTTGTGTCTATCTCTGACGTTCTAGAGTAACTCAGTATTTTGATTGAAGGAGCAGAGCGGAAAACGTAGCTTTTCAGTTTGGAATGAATTTTGGCACTTTTTGAGGCTCGTTTATGCATAACTCTGCCTAGTGAATCCTTTGTTACTGAGCTTTCTGTGGCTTGAGCAATACTTGCCTTTAAAGCATTCAAGCCATGGGATGGTTTACTTAGATTTATGTAGAACTCTTGTTCAATAAAGTCAATTCGTTACCCAGACATGCGCTAAATTTACCGTTAAGAAGCATTTGTTCATAGTTTCAAGCTGTCATATCTGCCGATTTGTTCACGTACAATGTGAATCTTATGGGAACTCACCTCGGGAATCGTTGCACATTCTATGCCAGATACATGGGCCGAGGTGGTAGGTGGCCCGCTTTGAGTGCGTTCATACTTTGCGTCGGCCTCTCGAGCGTACGACAGAGTTTTTAGCGACTAGGAAAGTACAGATGTTGATCTAACTTTTCGAGCGTACGCAAGCGTTCTGCCCGCGAGCAGCTTGAAACTACCTGCAAAGTGCTCAAAAATGCTGGGGTACGATTAGAAGCTAGATCAATGTCTATACTTTCCTGCTCGCTCAATACGCTGACGCAAAGTATGGACGTAGCCTTACTGCACTCGGTCCAGGTTTAATCTCCGTTTAGCTCTTACTCAACTAAGCCCTCTTCCATCCAAGGACGGCCAGCATGCATCAGATACGTCTGGTAGGGTAAAAAACCCACACACCTGCTGGTCCCGCAGGTCATTGTATAGATTACATCGCATTTAGTAAGCCACCACGATATCGAGTATGCCACATTCCAAAAAGGGTTGGTCGGCTTAGGAAGCTCAAGCCTTTTTCTTTTAGCTACACAGTAACACTCGAGAAAGCAGCTTGAATGACTCTTCACTGATGCCTTTTATTCAAATGCGAAGTCCCCTATTGAAATAGCCCCGCAGCGCTGCACTTTTTTGGCCATTGATGACGTATGACCAGTTGAGCGCATGGCCACATATCCATATCCGTTCAATATTTTGCCGTGTATGTCTCGTCACCGCCATCGCATCTATTTCCTGAATATTCACAGATGGAGTGTAATGTTTATTTTCCTGTCGTGAAAATCTCCTAGATTGCAACCATAAGTGATGCATTTCAGCCTGCTCCTGCAGCTGCAGCGAGTCGTCCTGCTACTGCAGCACCTTCACTAGACGCGATGCAGTTGAAGCAGTTGAAAGAGGAAGTTGATGATGTAAGTTTAGTTTTTTGTGCTAATGCCTCTCCTTTGATATTGTGATCTGATTAAGAGAATGTGGAAAATGATGGGTGAACTGATTTTATCGGCTTTTATGGATATGGAAAGGTGACTGGGTTCTTGAGGGTGTTTCGAGGCTGGAACCGTTTGAGCAAATAGTCCTATATCTTTTTGTGTTAGGAAATAGACTAGTGTGGGCTTGACGGTGTGTTATATTCCTCCAGTGGTTTTTCACGTACTGCCCACTGGTCACGTTCTCGGATTGTCCCACCCTTCTGTTGTAATTAAAAAACTTCCGTTTTGTGATAGGCGAACTTTTCGTGAGCAAGCTATTTCAATACCGCTTTGGGCATTTACTCATCACAGCTGACCTGTATGATAAATTGGTTCGCAAATTCGTAATGATTGCAAACTTCAGTGGTACTTGTACCTTTTATGGTTTTCGTTTCTTGTATGTATCACGCATTTCTGTTTAGCTGACTCGTCAGTTGGGCGAAAGCGATGCGGTGTTGAATAGTCTGGAGAAGGAACGCGACTTTTATTTCAATAAGTTGCGACAGATTGAGGTTGGTTTTTGAGGTTTTTGGATGACTCGTTGCTTTGTCTTTGTAGTTTTCCACTCGCGTGTGTTCAGTAATAATTTTTCGTAGTTGTAAATTTTACTTCTTATTTTACCACCATGTTTGAATCACTGACGACAGCTCATGCATTTATGTATCTGAAAATTGTGGGCAAAAGTTATTAGAATTTGAATCTATGAAGCATCAGTGATCCTAGTATTGATCGACTATAATGTGGAAGCTCTTAACAACATTCGCACTTGCAGAGTTTGTACCTCTGTAGTTACCTGAAAAAAAAGCGTCGAAAGTGTGGGGGGGGGGCTTTTGGCTTACTCTTGCGCGCCCTTGATCCGCCAAGGCCCACATGAGGGAGACTGCTTTTGAGTTCAAAGACACCTTCAAAAAATGGTCAATTACCGCTTGTCCGGCTCGTCCCGATGAGAAGATGGCGAATAACGCAAAATGGAGAAAAAAAAGCGAACCTAGCTTGAGATGCCTCATGTAGCACCCCAAGCCGAACCG